AATTATGTGAAGGGCAAGACATGAGGGTCTAAAATCATTAGCATCATAGTCTGTATTATATTACTACAAATATACAAACCAAAGAACAGCAGGGTGGGAGAAGACCTTAAATTTTAATTTTCAGGCAGTTAAATAAAAAGTCTGAAACATGTTACTATGTTCTTGGTTGTTTGGTTACTGTCCTGATGTTCTTTGCTGCAATCAGAACAAGATTTGATCTAAAAAGGAAACCCCTGGCATTTCAAAGAGTAATGAAACTGTTACCGATGAGTTTGCGGATGGAATTGTCTGGATTTTTCACGGCTTCAATCTGTCCTTTCAGCACAGTTTCCCTGTCAGCAGAAAACGGGGTGAAGCCATGCTGGGCCAGGCAGCTATTAACCTCCACACAGATCTTCTCTCCAACTGTAGCAAAGGCCTCGCTGGCATTAAAAGAACTTGCAGGAAAAAAAGGAAATGGGGCAATTAATAAAAACTTAGGGGTTTAATTCAAGAATAAAAGCTGTCTTTCAAATGTTTTTTTCTGGTTACGTGGAACACCAACACTGCTCTCAGGGGTAGCGGACTGAAGAACCTGTAAAAGGCATTCTTCATGTAAAAGGAACTGAAATGCACTGCCAGCATTTTATTTAGGGTACTGCAGCACTGGATATACAGTATATGCGCTTTTCATAGCAACCACTAGAGAGCATTCCCATCCTGGATACAGTGAACAAAATATACCATATACCATGTATTATTTATCTTTCCTGTATGCAAATGTGAAAGATAAAGTTTAAAGTGTGGCTGGCTCTCATTGCTGCAAAACTGCATTTTTATGTACTTGATCGGAAGATTTTAGCCAATCAATCATGAGTTGAAGCACTGTGTGCATTAAATTCAGTTCTGATTTGGCTCTCAGTGAAGCTGGTATCCCTTTAATTATACTCCTTACAACACACCAGTCTATGTCATCATACCTACAGTGTAGTTCAGCTCTTAAACATCATAAACATCCCTGTCCACACTGATGGACTGGATACCTTTGTATGTGGACTTCAAAGTGGAAATGTGATGGACTGTGATTTTGCCTACCTGTTTTTCCAAGAACGCTGTGACTAGCGAAAGGTTGGATTAATGAGGCAAAAATGTTACGCTTCTTAGCTTCTCTTAGCCTAAGGCAGTTT